GTTTAGTCTTAATCAGTTTAGTTCTTGCTTTTTTTTTTTTTTTTTTCTTTCCATGAATCCTGTCTAAATACTTCCAACCCCCCCTCCAAAAAAAAAAACAAAAGGCTTGCTGTCTACTGGAGATACGCTTGAGAATAACAAATGCAGTGCACATGGGATGTGGAGAAAGACAAAGTAATTCATGTTAACTCTTCAGGACTTCTCCACCTGTGACCCCTTTCCCCTGTGCCCTAATTGCACCTCTGCAGACACATCCCAGACTGCTTACTTTTTTCAAGAACTTTCCTAGGATTCATTTGCTTTTAAACTATAACAGGCCAGAGTGCTCTTTATTTTATAATATTCATCCACCTTTTGTTATTTCTTTTTAACTCTGCTAATTTTTCATACAAAAGTTCATCCATAAAATAATTAAACAAATGTATTGTGTACTGCATTAATATACCACTAAAAAAAAAAAAATCTAATTGCCACATCTCCTATAGTTTAGAGGGCTGGAGGGTGGGAATGTTGATTTCTTTGTTTTGGGGGGAATTTATTTTTTGTTTTGTTTTGTGGTATTGGTTTGATTTTGTTTGTTTGCTTGTTTTTGTGGGTGTTTTTTTTTTTTTTTTTGTTACTTAAAAAATACCTCGTTGTTTGCTAGTAGTATTACTTGGGAACCTATGGATCTCAAGTTGAAGTTTTAAGTACACAGTTAGTTCCTGGCACAGAGCAGGTGAGGAGCAGCGCCTCTCTGAACCAAAGAAACCATCTGCGGGTTTCCCTTTGGTGTTCTGAACAAGCACCTTTTCATCATGTTGGGACCAGATGGTTTTTGTCGCGTGAAAACAGGGCTTATTTGAACAGGAAGCTCTTGCATTCATTATGACCACAGACAGTTAAAAACTAACTGGTAACTGTCATTGTCTGGCACTGTGTGTGGAAGTGGCTGTGTTTTATTATGAACTTGATCTATTTCTGTCCTGCTCTCTGCTTTCCCACTTATCACCATTTTCCCTTTGTTATGGGTACAGATGTCCTTTGGCCTAGTCTCAACATCATCCGCAATACACAAGTGGCAGCATCCTTGGTATATAATTTGGCCCTGTGTGCACCTGTAGGATTCCCTTTGACCAGACAGAGGTTATTAAACCTGTCTTTCAGTTTTATAAAAAGCTTTCAGTCTTCACTCCTTGGTCACTACTCCATTTCTTAACTATATTTTTCTCAATCTCCCCTGATTTCCTGCTGCGGTTTTGGATCTTTGGCTTGCATGAAACTTGCTTCTGCTAAGGGCTGAGACTGCCAATGAGAGCTAGGTCAATGGGGCCTGCTCATGCTCACTGGTCTGTGTGTAGCCTGTTTGCTCCCAGCTGGTTCCTTACTGGTGCTCCCAGAATTTTTGGCTGTGGCTCTTTTGTGCCTATCTCATAAAATTAAATCGTATTTATACATCTACTGCAGAGAACTCAAGTACGCGTTGCGCTTTGGGTAGGGTAACTTCATCTGTGTGATTCAGGCTTCTCAAATGGTTTTGTTGCTGCTGTTGGGTAATGGGATTGAAATGCAGTTTTGAATTTTTTGGGGACTGTTTTCCATTTCTGTGCTGCCCACCACATGGTGTGCAGTTCACACATGTCGTCTTTTGGAGCGAAGCGCTAAGTAGTGGGAAGATCACCCAATTCCAGGTTTTATAGTGAATGCTGCAGTGAAGATAGATACACTTTTATTAGCAACAGTTCCTTGGATTGGAATAGGTTAATTATTAGAGATGCCAGCTTGATCTTCTGAAATTTTTTAAGCTGTGCTTATTTCTGTGATGCAACATCTTTTTTTCATATCGAATTTAGCTGCCTTTGGTGTGTTGTTTTTCTTTTCTTTTTTTTTTTATTTTTCATTTGTTAATCTTTGCTCAAACATTCTGTGGTGTAGCGTGAGTCATTCTGTCTGTGTGGGAAAGGACTGGTTTGTTGCAGGGTTCAGCCCTGAGTGGGGAGGGGAAAGGGTGAAATGTATTTATGTTTTCTATGTGTTTGTTGTGGAAATGCATAAAACATTTTTTTTTTCTCTTTCTTTCCTCTCTTCATCATCTCATCTGTGTGGGTGAATGTTCCTGCAAACCCTTTGGGGACCTATAGAGACCTTTGGTATGCTCATTCTTTCATTAGTGCCCAAAGTCAGATGCTGGGAACAATTTAAAGATGAAAAAATAGAGGGGGGTAAAGGGGGTCTCATTGTAGCAATGTGAAGTGGCTAAAAATGTGCACTAAAGGAAAACTTCAAACTCATCATTTAATGTTTATTTGCAACATCAAAATAATATCAATGGCTACTATAGACTACAACTAGTTAGCATAAATTTGGATTTGGCACTAGAAAGGTAGAAATGAAGTGAGTTCTGTATCAAGAGGTTGTTTCATGATCAAAATCCATTTTTTAAAAATATCTGTTTTCAGAAGTGACATAAGTGCGTGCATTTAAGTTGCCTAAATTATTTTGGAAGTCACCTCCTGAATTTCTATGTAGTGTAAAAACCCAGGTGATTTCTGAATGTGAGAACCAGGCAAAATTTGATACATTTTCTCTTGAAAGATGAGGGCATCGTGAATAAATTAATACCATTAGGTAGCTTTCTTTTGTAAACACACGTTCAGTGCCATTTTCTGAAAAAGGAACATAAGTAGAGTAAGTTAAATGTTCTGTATTGTAGGAGAGCTTGTGGCTTCTTGATTTTTCTAGAAACTAGGCTTCTTCTTCCCATGAATCCGCAGTTTGAATATTTCCATCTGGATTTCAATTTTTTTCATAAACATTCTTTTTTCATAAACATCCATAAGAAGAACTGAAACAGAGATGATTACATGAAAATGTCATGGTATATTTTTATAAATACTGAAAATTATATTCCAGTGCAAGAAATGCGGAAACATGAAGTATTTCTTTATATGAACAATGGAAATTTTGCAAGGGATATATAAGACATGCTGTACCATAATAACATGAGCAAATTAAAACTTCATGCTTTGTCTATGCTTTGTATTGTTAAAACAATGTTAATTAATTGTCTACAGCTGCTTAGAAACATAGAATTATTGACATTTGAAAAGACCACTGATTGTATAGTCCAACTGTCAACGCATCACCACCATGCCCACTGAACTATGTCCCTAAAAATTTGAAGGCCCACAAGTCTGAAGGTTTGGCTTTTTGGTAATTGTACTGATCATCTTAACTTTTTTTTCTTGACATTAAGAAAAAAATAAGTCGTATTACTTTGGAGTCAACTTACATTAAAAAAAAAATTATAGGTAGTCATCAAACTAATCAGTTGTCATCTCAGTACTCCTAGTGGAAGAAGAGGATCATTAGACCTGAACTTAGACATTGCTAGATTCCTTTTTTGTGTAGAGAATTCCATGTTATAGGATATCCAGTCTTTTTTTCATATGAGGATCTTTAGATCATTAAATGATGAGGATTGATGATCCTCATTTGAGAATGCCCTAATTTCCAATATTCCAAATAGCCAAAAAAATTTCAAAACAGTAAGACATTTTCCCTACTTGGGACAACTGTCAAACATCTTATTGGCTCCCCACTAAAATACATTTAACTTACAGTCAGTTTAAATGCCAATTTAATGTAATTCCTTTGACATAAAATGTTTTTCTATTCTACTTACACATAGGTTTAAAGTAATAGAGAGAAGGAATACATTATCACGTGTTCCTCTTAAGATAAAATTACTGTGCATGTCTCGTGTTTTAAACACTTTTCTAACCTTGAGGTCTGCCAGCTCTTTTGACATTTTGTCTAAAATTTCCCTTGCATTGATGCTATTCCATAGGAGTCAGTGATGGAGGGAGCTGCAAGCCCCCCTTTCTTGAGTATTTTGCTACAGTTGAATCCTATAGCGCAGCTGAGAGGGAAAGAAAACCAGAATTAGTGACCAGTCTATTCCAAGGCTGCCGTTGCTTTTATCACTGCAGATACTGCACCGGTCACAGAAAAATGGTAAGAGAAAAGGTCTCTATGAGCTTCAGAAAGTGAAATGCAGATCCAAAACTGTAAAATTCCAGATATTGGCCAGAATAATCTTGACACGTTACTGAGTATTTTTAGAAATTGCTTAGGTCTGAGCATTGCAATACGCAAAATCCACTGTTATTAATATTTCATTATGTGTAGTGACTCAGAAAATACAAAAACAGTATGATATTTTCTTCTCAATTCTGTGACTTTTTCAGAATCATGGCAGTTTCTGAAATGCCTCTCATTTATGACTATGCATTAAGTAACCTACTTTGATCTGGCTGATAATTGATATTCAGAGAAATACAACAAGTGAAAGATTATCTGAACAAAAAATGTTGGTGCACATTTTAAATGGTCATCTAGAACTTTGCATTTATTCATTCCTTGTATCTCAGTGCAAAATTAAGAATACTTACTCTCTGACTGTGGGCACATCTAACGTGCAGTGTTGTTGTAGCCCTGTGCTTTGTCTTTGCTTGCAGTAATGCTGTGCTTTTGGTACTGGAGCTTGCAAACAGCCTTTATTTAAAGGTGATGGGGGTGGAGGGAAAGCAATGAGATTGAAATAAGTCTTAATAAGTTGAAAGAAATGGAAAAAAAAAAAAAGTACTATTATTTTAAATTATCCTTTTTGAATGGCTACTTATACATCAGGTGTTTGTGGTTTTTTCCCAATCAAATTAAGAAAGTTTTGTATCACCTTAAAGCCTGCTTGCTTACACAGTATTTTGAGCTACTACAGCTGGTGTAGTTTAATTAAAGTGTGTGGAATAATGCAGTTACTCCGGGAAGCTTAGAGATCACCTGGAGATAATTGTAGGAGTCTGAGACATTGGTGCTCACCATAGAAGATACAAAATGGTACCTTAAGAACTGAAGATTGGAATTGATAATGAAGTCCATATATTTTGTAAACAGTGCATCTCTATCACATCCAAGATGACTTACATTAATAAAAATGTTGGTTTTGTGTGTGTTTTCAGTGAAAGAGTTCCTAGCCAAAGCCAAAGAAGACTTTTTAAGAAAATGGGAAAGCCCACCTCAGGTATCACTTAATAATTCAATAATTTTCTCTATAGCATTTTTTCATATAAGTGTGGATCAGTGTAATGAGCAGCAGAAAAGACTGAAGTAAGTTTAATGCATTTTTCAAGAGTTTCCATTTTGAATGTTAATTTTGTCACTCACGTTTGTCAGGAAAGGCTCAGACCTCCAGACTAAGCTGATGAAATGGTCGTACTGAGCAACTGCTTTTTCTTGCACTGAATTATGTTTGCCATCAACATGAGAAAACTCAAAATCAGTGGTCATATTTTACCTGGCTTTTTGTAGCAGTAACCATTGGCGAATCTGTAATTTACCTTGCTGATATTTTCTTATGTTGTTAATAAAGAATATACTGCATGAAGCTTGTGGGCAGGCTGAGGAGCTTGAAAGAGTAATCTGTTCAGAGACTGAGGGGAGTGAGCTTTTTCATAGAGAGGAGGGATGGGGACAGTGGAAAGCATGATGGTATTTTATTGAAGCAGCATTTGAAGTACTTTGATAATGAGTAACTGAGGAAGTTTTGTCAGTGATATTTCTTCCAGACAATTTATATGTGGTTTGGTTCTAGGATTTTGCTCTAATTTTCTGCTTTGTGGAGCATTGGGGACTTTGTTTATTTATTTGTGCCTTAAATTCGTGATCTACTTACTGTCAGTCTCCCTCTTACTAAGCATTTGTCATCTGTGTAGACAAATTATTGAAATGTTAATACAACTCAATTAAGTCTTTTTGTTTTAATGAGTGCAATGTAAAATATAAAATCTTATTAAAATTTGATAGGCATGACAACGTAAAACAGCACTAGGTTGCCTATATTTTGTTGTATCTTGATGTTAGATTGTAAATAATATCATTTTATCCTTTTACGCGTAGAATACTGCTGGCCTAGATGATTTTGAGAGGCAAAAAACTCTTGGAACAGGATCATTTGGGAGAGTTATGATGGTGAAGCATAAAGCCACAGAACAGTATTATGCCATGAAGATACTGGACAAACAAAAGGTTGGTGCAATTTTTACTGCGTTTTTGTGGTTCAGAAGGGTTTGATGTAGACAAAATCTGGTGACTGTGACTAAACTGTGTTTCTCTTGTACAGTTGCACAAATTTTAACCTTAATAAAGACTCCTTTATAAGACTTAGGAAACTAAACTTTATAGCATAAATTCTGGCATTACTTTTACTTGAAAGAGCTCTTTTTTTTCTTTCAACTTCAGCATTCTCTTATGAATGTTTTCTAACTTCTTTTTTTTTTAAAGACAGAAAATATCCACTTAAATTAAAAAGACTTCCCAACACAGTACAAATGAAAGGCCATTTGAAATGCTATTTGAAATCTGAAAGGCTGTTTGAAATGATTGACCATTTCAACACTTTATTCGCTTACTAGGGCTGATGAAATTCTGCAAGAAGTCTCCCTGTAAAACAGGGTGTGATGAGTGAAAGCATCCTGTGCCAAATTTTAATTGCAAGAACTACTTCTTGGTAGTGGTTTCCTGTTAATCATCTCTTTACCAAATGCACAGCTATATTTCCTTTTGGAAATTTCTGCCAGTTTCAGTAAGTTTTATGGAGAATTTATGAGTCCTTCGTCACAAAGGACAGATCATCATGGAAATATTTGAAGGAATATTGAACAGGATGGATGGCCAATGCGGTGACTATTTTTTTTTTTTAACAAAACTTAAGTCTGGCTCATTAGGATAGGAAAGAAATATAAAGATAGTGTATATTGAAGTAGCCAGTAGTTTTGTTTGTAGGGTTGTTATTCTTTTATTTTTCTGCCTTGACCTAGCAAGGATGTAATATATGAAGGCCACTGAAAGTGATGCCTCCTATTTATCTCTGCAGAAATAATGATAGATACAAAGAGCACAAAAACACCATAAGACAGAGGAAATACTCAGCTACAAAATACCATTTTTCAATATTGTCACCACCATTAGCTGTGCGTTTTTGCCAGCAATGAACAAGGGCCTGCATGCTGTGCTCACAAGGATCTGTAACAGTGGTGGTGACCACTGTCACTGTCAGCACTGCTGAAATGCACCACTCACTGCTCAAATCCTGTTTGCTTTCCAGAAATGTTCAGTAAGCATTGATGAATGTCAGTGGACACAATTTCTTCCACTGGAAGGAGTTCATTGACACTCCTTTGCTTCATATGCACCTACATGTCAGACTCCGTGCTGTCAAACTGCCCCTTTGCTGCCATCATGGCAACATGGCAACAACATGTAATGGGGTATTGGTGGGAGGATTCAGCCTCTACTGCCATCCCACCAACATCCACCTCTGACTTTGTCGGACAACATAACAAAATAGAAGGCAAGCTTTCAGAGCAGACCTCGTAAGAATGCATAGTTTCATTACAAAATTGCTTTTGGAAGATAAGTAATGTTAACAAAACCTCAGACCCAAGCAATTTATGGGTTAAACTGCTGGTATGGATATCATTGATCTAGGAAGGTGTCGTTGGACATGCCTTTAGCCAGAATTCAGTGAGAGCAAAGCTGTGTTAGCTGAGGCTCCAATTTGATAGCATGAAGTGCTAAGTAGCAGTCTCGGGCTGTGGTATTGCTGTGATCACCATCTATTTCTACAGCAGAAGCTGCAGAAAGGGTTAAATCTTGTCTAGAAGCTGAATGCTTTGAAGTATCAAACTATAACCTTAGTTTGCTGTTTTTGGTGGTCAAAACAATTCCAGTGTCATAGCTTTTGGGGGACAAAGAGGACACTTCCCATGAGTGAGCTGATTGATAGTGCTTGCTTTTTTTCCTGCTGTTTGCCTCAGTGCAAATTTTTGATTTGATCTAAAAATTCTTGATTGAAAAGAGATTTAATACTTTTAATTCACAATTTCTTTTGTATGACATTTCTTAAAAAAAAAAAAAGTCACCTTTTTTTAATACTATTTTGATTTAAAGGATAATTAAATTTAAACACCGTTTTAGTCAGGACTGGAGTATCGTGCTTATCTGTTATTTATAGCACTTACATTTGCTTTCCAAACTTGTGAAAACAGGCTTATTTTCATCAGCCTTGTACATTTTCGTGTTTCCAGTGCAGAAAAAAAGTGTGACTTTATGTCATTCTGAAGATACAGATAAATTAAGTAATATGGATGAAGTAAAATGGGGCTTAACATCAGGAAACAAATTGCTAATTCCCAAGAAGTGATCAGCAATCTACCACTTGCTGGTAGCTTAACACTGTAATGTATTTCAAGAAGGTAGCATTTAATTTTTTAGTTCTGTCACCAAGCAGTTTGATATAATGCAGAAAAGCAAAATTCATTGAAATGTCACTGAAGTAACTGTTCATAAGAATGGAAACTCTGAATGTATGTTTTCCTTAGTCTTCTCCTCACTAATGTGTGAACTCTGTAAAGTAAATCAGTTTACTTTGTTCACTTGTAACAAAATTCATAATTAAATACATGATGCAATTTCCTGCCTTTCTTAGCTAAGTCAGAATTACTATATTTTTACTGAGTTGTCTTGCTGCAGAAGTATCTCTGTTATAAGATCAAAGAATTCTTATGAACATGTAAAAAGATGTTTTCCTTACAGATTCTTATCCTCAGCAGGAAGGAAGAACTGGTGTTTCTTGAGTTATCTGCAGACCATATAACATGAGTATTACTCTTTAGAATGGTTATCCTTCTCATTCCTTTCTCATTACTTCCACTGTGACAATAATCTGTTAGGGTTTTGGCTGTCTGTGAAGATATGTGCTTGTTTTCAAATGACTTTGTTGTACTGAAAAATATATTGGTGGTTATAAAATGTCATAGGCTGGAGATTTTTTTGTTTATTTTTTCTGTACTAGGTTGTCAAGCTGAAGCAGATAGAACACACACTGAATGAAAAGAGAATATTACAAGCAGTGAACTTCCCTTTCCTTGTAAAACTGGAGTATTCTTTTAAGGTAATCAATACTTTGAAAGTAATTATTTGAGTTTCTGGGAAGTACATGACCAAACTTTAGGAAAAATTGTAGTTGTTATGCAGCTTATTTGTGTGAGACTGTTATCTGGAGCAGGATTCAGTGACAATCTTAGTGAGAACTTCAAGATTAGCTTCTAACTCCGCGACAGCACGTGCTTGTTGGTCTGTAAAGAAATCAAGTATTTTGCTAATAGTGATATATGTCCTGTGAATATTTACTACTTTTTAAAATTATTTTTATTTTTATTATAGCATTTTAAATGAACAGACATTCTAGCTTAATGTTTATGACTTTGAGGTGTGGGGATGGAGCTATAGGAGATGAGAATATTATAGGCTTAAGATTATATTGTAATAATATAGTCTATAATATTATAGACTTAAGAGTGCAAGTTCATAGTTTGTGGTCAGCATTTCACTCTTTGCTCCTTCATATCATTCTACACCATTCTGTGTCAGGAGCCCACTAATTATCGTTATATCATTATATTTTAATATTAATTTTAATAGATTTCTTGACATTCTGATACTCCTTTTTGTCAAGTGTCAGCATTTTTCCAAGAATTTTTTACCTGTGTTTCTTTTTATTTATTAAGGTCATTGGATGGCTATAATTTTTCACTTTCATTCTTTAATAAAATATACTGTATCTGGGAATTATAAACACTATAGAATGTCTAGTACGTATTTATGTGTATTTATTTACTTCTTTAGGACAATTCTAATTTATACATGGTAATGGAGTATGTTCCTGGTGGTGAAATGTTCTCACATCTAAGAAGAATCGGAAGGTTCAGGTAAGAAGTCTTACTAAAAATATTCCTTCAAAAATAGTTATACTGCTAATGTGGGAAGAGTTTCATAAAATGCGTTACTGTTAATGAAAAAGTTCTGAAGGGATAAGTGCATTTAATTTTGCCTTCTTTTAGCAGACTAATATATGCAATGAAAAAATTGTAATTAATTTTCAGTTTTTTTAATGCAGGTATTAGTAATCTAGGCATAGTAGAATCTGGGAACTGCTTTTTTTTTCTATTTTTTTTTTTTCCATTTCCTAGTTCTTGTAATTAGGAATTGTTATGTACATTGGCACTGAAACTGATAATGGTTTCGAAAAGTGAAGTTTAAAATCTGAGTTTTTCTAAGTTCTATGCTGTACAGTATAATCATCTTGATTTGAAAATATGTTTTAAATGCAAAACCTAAGAAATTAGATTTAATGTATGAAAGTATCAGTTCTAAAGTATTTGCTGGTTGTTTTTGCAGTGGTTGGGGGGGGGTTGTGTTTGATATGGATTTTTGTTTGGTTTTTCTTTTTGTTCTTAGTATACAATACAAGAACTGATTAAAAGATCTGTCTCTGGCAATCTGGTGGTTGTTTCAGTATTTTAGCATAGCACTGAGTTCCTTAATATTGTTTTAATTCTTCACAGTGAACCACATGCACGGTTTTATGCAGCTCAGATAGTGCTAACATTTGAGTACCTCCATTCATTAGACCTCATCTACAGAGATCTAAAGCCTGAAAATCTTTTAATTGATCAGCAAGGATACATCCAGGTATAGTAGTCTTCATGTATTTGGGGAGTGGACTCTCATTTCACAGTGCAGTTAGGTAATTGTAGCAAATATGTTTAGAATAAGTGAGCTGGTTGGCACGTTAGCATATGCTCTGGGGCATCACTGAGCTGAACTTCCTGTGACTGAAACAAAGTATGCACACGTTCATTGCTTATGCCAAGTTGTCAGGATTGCCCTTGTGGTCTGTGGTGAGGAGGAGGTGATTATGTGGCTCTGTTCATCTGAGCTATATTATACATCTGCCCTAAAATGAGAAGGTAGCCTACAGTGTCTGATTCTCTGCATTGTCTGTATAAGCAGTTGAGGATGATTAGATGTCAACATCTGCAATATAGTACTTAATTTCAGGCAGTACTTAGTCTCACAGCATTATAGAGCCCATAACCTTCTCAGCAATTCAGATCAGAATTGCAGTGCTGCAAATGATTGGTTTTACAACAGCTTCTCAGCACCGCTTCAACTTCTTTTTAGTTTCTCTGCTTGTGATCAAAACGACGAATGGGAAAGTGATGTACAGCAACAAGACTTCTGCAGTACCTTGCGGTTCTTACACTGTGGAAGCTTCTCTTCCCTCATAGTGTCACCTTTAGCCTAAGTCTAACAGTAAAATAAATTATGAAAACATGGAGAGAAGTGGAAAGGACTCTTAACTTGAGCTTTTTTAACAGTACAGTAATACTGCATAGAAAACAAAAGTACAGTCTCTACTGCATAGAGAGAAGAGAAATATGAATTTCATTAATGTGGATAAAGAGTACCATGAACATAAACCTATGAATGTCTTCTGTAGAACTGCTGACTCTCTGTACTGAACAATACATTTTTATGATGGTGGGCAAATTGCAAATGGTAGCAGAGCCAGCAGTCAGTCTTCCCATGGCAGGTTCTTTAGTTTCTGCTTCTAAACAAAGGGAGTTTGATGTTCATGTGCTCATGCTGCAGTTCCAACTAAACTTTGTTTAAAAGCTCCATTATTTTTCTTTTTGAATTTTAAAACAGTTACTTGTTTGTCCCATGCCTGCAGTGTATTCTTACTCAGATTAATATGTATTCACCAACACAGCAGGAATTCTTTGCTGACTGAAGCAGGTCAGCATGTTTGCTCTCTCCATTCAGTTGCAGGTGTGATTGCTTTTGTTTCTATGAAAAATGAAGCAAAAGCTGCCTTGATAGTTTGGCATTTAGCTTGTTAACTATCTCTGTGTGACCTTACTGTATCAGAAACATTGACACAAGTTGTTGTGTAATTAGTGATACCAAGAAGGAGGAAATAAAAGGAATGGATCCTCAAATAAGCAAAGACTTGATAGGTTGAAACTGGTCCCAGAATTTCAAAAGTAACCTGCTGGCTTCCATATGTATTCTGCAATATGGTCCAGGAAAACTCCCAGCGTGAAAGATGAAATAGCATGCAAAGTTCTGAAAACTTACTGCTGAAAACATGACAAGTGGAATGAAGAATCCTTAACTGCCAAGAACTTGTCATTTGTGACTGCAATTACAGCTACATTTTCCCCACATACACAATCTTCAGATAAGTAAGCTGGGTTCTGGTGATGCTTTCAAAGATACTCAGAATGAGAAGTTACTGGAAGACCTCTTCTACATTGTCATATTCCCACACTATTTTTTCCTTATAACCTTCATACACTTCTGCTATGAAAACTTCCCCAAGATTCTCTGATATCTTAACCCTTTTTGTGATTCATTTATTTGTCAACTGAGGGAAAAGATGAATATCTTGTTTATATTTACGTTCTTAGAACTTTTAGCGGTATAAGCAGTCTGATGTGAAAAGTAAAAGAAAATATGTTAATATTTTGTGGTACGCACAGATGAGGGAGTTGTAGCTCCTACTGATTATTGAAATTCTAAACAGAAGAGTTTTCGAAGGAGAGAATATTTATTTTTGTGTTATTTATTTTATCATGAGAAAAAAAAAACAAAAACTGTAAGTGAATTAAAATTACTGGAAAAAGTTGCAATATAGGATGCATGTGACTGTGTGGTAGCATGTGATCTGACACATAAATTTTTCCCACGTATAAAATTCCTCTCCAAAATATTTCAGAGGTACTTAATTTTAAATTCTGATGCCAGGTCACGGACTTTGGCTTTGCAAAAAGAGTAAAAGGAAGAACTTGGACGTTATGTGGGACTCCAGAATACCTGGCACCTGAAATAATTCTCAGCAAGGTACATCAGTTCTATAAATGATAATTGTCCGTCATGTATTTGGTGTGATTAAAAGATATTACCTAATTATTAATTTCTGAGGGATGAACAGTTGCTGGTAGTTGAAAATTCAAATTATTGACAAGTTGTAGTGAAGTATACAAAATGCAAGTTTTGCATCATAAGTGTTAACAGACTAAAAGAGGAGCTCCAGAACTGCGTAATGGTTGAATCAGTAGTCATTGAAAAACTACTTGCAGTGTTTTATGTTTAAAGCACATGAATCAAACATGGAAAAACACTGGTCTTGCATGTAAATTATACGCAGCCTCATACTTGTACTCTATTTGAACACTGAAGAAATGTTATAGCTGTGGTATCTTTTAATGTTTTGCAAAAGAAAATTTTTTATAGTTCATGGAACTGTTCATTATATTCATAATCTTGTTAAATTATTCACTGTGTAGTTTAATTAAATACCCTTTGTAGGTCTTTAAACAGAAAATAATTTTACTTTAGGAGAAAGTGTTGGATGTTTTTGTTTTTTATGATGTTAGACCTCTAAAGCAGCAAAGGAAGTTGCAATGCCTCTGTTACAAATTCTCCATAGTTGATTATTCAAGAACAACTGAGTCTTGACCTTGAGCTTTGTAAAAGATCTCAGAGGGAGCACATGAAATTGGGGCTAGGAGGGTTTTCTGTATTTATATATTCTATATATCTTATCGGTGTAAGGATATCACTGGGAATCAACACAAGAATTTGTGCAAAGTATTTTGCTTTCATTACAGTATTGCTGTTAAAATTGGAGAACTTCAGTTTGTTTTGAACTAGGGTGTATTAAATAAGCAAAAATATATATATTTTTATATTTTCTTTCTTTACAATATATAGCAAATGTTAAACTCTTTTAGAAATGGTGCTAACTGTGGTTTTTCTGGTTTTATCCAGGGTTACAACAAGGCAGTGGATTGGTGGGCATTAGGAGTGTTAATCTATGAAATGGCAGCTGGATATCCCCCATTCTTTGCAGATCAACCCATTCAAATTTATGAGAAGATTGTTTCTGGCAAGGTAAGTAAAGACTCTGGATGTTTTCATAAGCACAGTTTGTTTTTCACTGTGTTTGTAGTACCTGATTTTTATGTGGAGTTGATGCAAAATTCACTGGATGCTATGGACACTGAGCAATTTGGAATGAATATAGCAGAGGACTGGAATTGGATGATCTTAACAGTTCCTTTCCAAACCAAACTTTCTACGAATATGGGAAGAATTTGTAATGAATACTTATTAGGTACAGGCATTGTGATAGTAACAATAATCAAAGCTTTAAGAATCCAGGTGTTTGCAGCCTGCACAGTTCCCTGACATCAAATTTAAAATGCATCTTTTTAAATTTACAGCACTGTAGTATTATACCTTTCTATGCTTGGAAAAAAAACGATCCAGTAACTATTAACAACCACTCACCAGTACGTTGTTTACCTCACTATTTTCTTTATAGAAATATCTTTGTAGCTTTTGAGAAGCTCTAAAATGTTTCCATAATTCATAGTAGTTTTCTTCTGCAGCAGCTAAATGCTGTAGTTTTGATGGGGGCTTTTTTGTTTGTTTCTGTTGTTTTCAAATTTTACCTATTTTGCTTTACATATTTACTGTTCATCATCTGATCTGTTCTTAAGTCCATGAGTGGATGGCTGTGGAAACAGCACCGGACTTGAGCACTGGAAATTCTAGTATTCTGTTCTCATATATCAGTATATTTGTATCTCATATCTCAGTATATTTCCTTTAAACCTTAATTTAATAGTTTAATTTGTTGTGCATTTAGTTCATTACTTAGAATACTTGGTGTATATGAATGTTATTACTGTATATATTCTGTCTATATATGCACACAGAATGTGTGTGTATATATTACTTGTATATACGAATTGCATATATGTAGTGTGTTTATGCATGTAATTTAAAAATTGGGTCCTAGAAATTACTTGAGAATGCCTTGAAATGTGGTTGTGTTGTTGTGAAACTATTTAGTAATATTTAGATTTAGCTTTTACGTCGTTGTTATATTAAATTAATATTTTCCCCCCAACTCAATCAAATCTAGAAAATTCCAGATCAGAAAATGATAGATGGGGAAGGTAATGCTATTGGTAAAGGCTTTCTGAAGCAGAAAGTGGCACCAATGCTTCTCTTTGCGTGAACATTGTTTTGCTTATACAAGGGAAGAATCAAATCTGTACATTAATATTGTGGATGTACATTTCAGGTAAGGTTCCCATCACACTTCAGTTCAGACCTAAAGGATCTTCTAAGAAATTTACTCCAGGTAGATTTGACCAAACGATATGGAAATCTCAAGAATGGTGTAAATGACATAAAGAACCACAAGTGGTTTGCGACTACAGATTGGATTGCCATTTATCAGAGAAAGGTAAGACACTTCCTGAAAAAAATGAGAAGTTGAAGTCAAATTTCTAATTATTTTGTTAATTTTTCCCTTCTTAAATGTGTAATTTTTCAAATGAGAAAATGTGAAAGTAGTTGAACGTATAGGGTAGAGGATTATATATTGATTGAATTATGTTTGTTTCTTGTTGCCATTTTATCCTGGACCTCCATATACTCATGTTGTCTTAACACATGTTTGTGCTTTAGTCTATTCCTGGAATATCTCAGAATGAGCCATCTCCTGCCTCTCTTGCTTTTTATTTAATCCCTGCTATAATGGCATCTATAAATACTCCACAGCAGAGAGGAATCTGTTTTCCTTTCCAACTACTTCTTAGCAGTCAGGCTGTGCTTTACTGGGGAGAAACTCTAGCCAAAGCTGAAGTACCACTCTCTGATGAAATGGTATTCTCCCTTTTTGCTCTTGCTCTTGCCTTACCTGTGACTGGAACAGGTTCACATGTATGTATCTTCTGGAGATATTTTCATTCTGACACTACACTGCAGCTGATTGTGGTTTCATAAATTACAGCAGTGACTTACAGAGCCCTTCTGAATCCTGTTTTGTGATATTTTTAGAATGGCTTTCTAGACCTGCCTGGCCAACATGAAATCTAATGTGGCATTTAATAAGTTTGGTGCCCAGTATGCACTGTGAACTTGCATAAGAATGAAAGTAAAACAGAGAACTTGGGGGTATTTGGAGAGCATGGGGAGCCAGTAGCAAACCAGAGGAGTATAGTAGTGCTTTCAGGGATGAGTAAGACAGGGCTTGGAAAGGACGCTGGGGAAAAGAGGAAGTATGACTGCAGTTCAGCATAGGTCTGTCTTCCAGTAGCTCCAAATCTCCCTCTCCCATGGAAGCTAGTTGAAGCTAGTAATTCTAGTATTCGAAGTCGAAGTTGAATGTTGTCTGTATATTAGTGAGTTACTAGAAATGGATTGTTTAGAAATTATTTGTTCTTTTAAGGCAACCTCTGAATTGCTTTTTTTTTTTCAATAAATGCCAAAAAAGACTAAAATAATTCTGTTGGTGTTGTCCCAGAAGAATCGTGTGGAAGAATCGTTTAGTATTCAGAATTTGATAAAAAGGTTGCATACAATAGAATAAGAAACACTTCAAGGAGCTGCTTACCATCATTGAAATGAAACAGTCTTGACTAGAGGCATGAACTTGCTGCTGTAACAGAAGTATTTTAAAGGACAAACTTAGATACTAACAATAGTTTATAAAAAGAAACTGGTTGTTTGGCTACATGAACTGACAGTGCAGTTGTTATGGCATTTGCTTATATATTAATTACTAGAGGACAGGATGCAATTAAGACATCTGATATTCATTGTGTTAAGTATGGATGTTTTAAGAAAAGATTTCCCTCTGCAGAACTGTAATTATCTGCTCTCTGCTTGCTTAATGCCTGTTTACAAGATAATTTTAAACACTATTAGTTTCATTCCATAGTATAGCTCTTTTGGGACACCCAGGCCCCATTATTTTGAAGCATTATAATATAATATAATTTATTATATAAAATTATATTATTGAAGGTAGCATTTTTCGTACACTGCTGTAGAAATTTACTTTTACAGAAACAATAAATATTTTTAAAAGATGAACTGGTACTACAGGCAGAATAGCTGTTATTAGTTTTAAAGGACTGTGTAAAGTGATACAGAAGAACTTCGAAGCTTCTAATTCTACAAAATAAATACAGTAATACTAGAGGTCTGAAACAACAGTGTACATTGTAGTCTCATTTAAGCAATCATTGAAATACAGCAAAAAACTTAAGTTTATGCCAGCTTCACACAAGCTGTTAACACAGCATGGATTTTCCTGCATAAACCTAGTGTTCCTTGGCAGCTAACCAAATAGGAATAATATTGTTATGCTGCAGTCTTAAGTAATACATTCAGTTACTTAATATTTCAGATGAGATAAAATCGTGTTTTCTTTGTGTGCTTGCATGGCTATTTATTAAAATGCTGCTTGATAATATGGTATACTTAGGGTCAAACGGGTATTTTCACTATAAAACAGTATTATCTCCTGCAATCTCTTTTTAGCTATTTCCTTGGGGAAGATAATAGGAAAAATGTTGTGAAATACAGACACAAATAGCTGTCTGATGCATCTCATTTGAACACATCCTGTAATTCCAGCAGTAAATAAGACATTTATTGTTCTCCGAGCTTTATTATAAGGCAGTAATTGAAAATTAATTTGGGAAGACGTAAAAATAGAATTTAGATAATGGTAAGTGTGTGGTTAACTAGGTATTTACTGAGGCTGAGAGTATTCTCAGGATACATAACCTAAACAGATACCTTGTTTTAGGAACAGTACAGTATGCTCCTGATAACTGTAGCATGGTCCATAAATGCAGAAAGCTCGTGTTATTTTCAAGCACACACTCTTCTTGGGAAGTTCCTAAGAAAGAGACCTATCTGATCACTTTGCATTTCCCAGTTGTTATAGTTTCGAATTTGCATTGCATCAAGTAATATTTAAATTTTGCATGAAGATGGATAAATTTTCTAAGGTCAACATCAAAAAGTAGCAGGTTCTGTCAGCTTTAAGAAGCAGCAGTATTGAGAATCCTAAAAACAACTGGTTCTAATATATAAATGTGAATTGCTTACTACCATGTAGTTGGCATAAGATGCACAGAATTTCAAAGCCAACATTGTGTTTGTGGATTTGAGAGTATGTGCTGCCTGTCTTTACCAGGAAGATTTTTACTTTCCAGTAAGAGAAGAGGATTAAGTTACATATGCTTGGAAGTAGAAAGCAGAAAGGAAAGAATTAAATTTGTTACGAAGTGGAAGTATTTTTAAATTTGTGTTTGTCGATGAGGTATTAGACTTTTTTAACATCTATTCATTCATCTAGAGCTACATGTTCTTAGGCTGATTTTATTTATTTGCCACAACTTTTAGCTGGTTTGCTATACTATCTACTTTCTTGGCAGGCCTTGAGAAGTAATGGGAAGATGGCTATGCCTGTTATCATAGTGCTAAATCTGAAGATATTAGATAGATAACATTTAATGTGCTCTTTTTTTTTGTAAACACAGGTAGAAGCTCCATTCATACCAAAGTGCAGAGGCCCTGGAGATACCAGCAACTTTGATGACTATGAAGAAGAAGATATTCGTGCGTCTCTAACAGAAAAATGTGCAAAAGAATTTGCTGATTTTTAGTAGGAGTAGGAGGACAAGATGACATCAGGGCTCACATTGGGATCTTTGCACTCTGTTATCAGATGAGGTGGAGCTGAGACCATCATATGTCAAAACAGTTACCTAGTTACTTCATTCCACAAAGCTGACTGAGGTCTTTATTGCCATCTTCCATGTGTGCGGTTTGCACCAACCCTTCTAACTAGGCACAATTAAGCAAGCACTGTTTGTGCAGTAACACAGAATAATAGACCACTTTCCTACTTAACTTTGGTTTCTGTCGTTCTTTGTTTCTGTGTATTGTTCATTTTTCCCCTTTAAAATGAAGTAGTTTTTTACCCAAGAATGCTCCATTTTATTTTGAATAATGTATTATTTGTGTGAGTGAAATGGAAGGTGTTGCGGCTAGTGTGATTTAGACTGAAGTGAAAGGTAAATGTTGCTTCTAGTCTGTGCCAGCCAATAATTCTTGTCTGTCTCGTGTCTGATGCTACAATTTATAATAATAATTTTTTAGTAGCTCAGACTAAACCTAGCCAACATTTTTAGCGTTTTTGAAGGTAGTATTTATCGCCATATAAATGTCTGCTAAATTAACTTAAAAATGTTTCTTCCTGGGGACTGACCAAAATTCAGTAGAATCAATTGGAAGGCTTAAGTAGGAGACAGTAGCTAGACCCCGTGCCTTGGTTTTCTACATCCCTGCGGTTTTCGTCACTGCCTCCTTCCTTTGTATTTCCACCTAGGCAGTAGGTCAATTGCCATAACCAGACTGTACCACCGAAAGCTTACAGTCTCAAGAGAGGGAGTAATTCCATCTGGTCTGGATTTTGGACCATATTTAACCAAGTCAACTTACCAGCATTTCAGTTGGCCGTATGAAATGACTTTTTTAAGAACATTAACCCTAAACTCTTAAAGGAAGTTTTGGTCAGTATTGTAGAGAATGACTCATTTTTATTCTTTTTTTTTTTTTTTCTCAGCCAATATTTGGGCTCCCAAAGTATTCTTTGTTTTAAGCCTTTTTTGATTTATTTTTTTTTTTAAAGGCATCCTTTAAAAGAAAATAATAAATAGAAAATGATGTTAAAGCAAAAAAAAACCACAAAAAGTAAAATGTGCTCTGCCATTGGCTTGTGAAAAGCAAATGGTTTAGCAAATGCAAAATAATGTTCTAGATGCATTGCTGGATGAACACGGTTATTTTTTGTTAGCTGTTAAGAATAAGAGGTTATTGCCAAGTTTTATTCTGGTATACTATATTAGTAAACTGTGGATGGAGTACTGCTACAATCACTTTCTTTTTTATTACAGCACTTCATTCATGAAGAAAAGAGACAAAGTTTAGAAACTGCAACAGCTGGTTTTATTTTATTTTTGTGTCTTCATTTTTAACCTACTTTCTTTCAATCAACCAGAATGTATGGTCACACAGATATAAGCATTTGGGCTTAATTATGTTTTGTATACTCTCACCAACTGACTTAAAAGATATTGCTGTCATGTGCTAGCTTTGGGCACTTTCACACATTTATTTCAATGTTAATAATCAGTGGCTCAGCACTTTTTTGGGGGTTGCTTTTAAACTTATTCATAGTAGTTTTATTTGTACACTTGATTCTGGCTCTCTCGATGACCTGTCTTAAAACAGCGCATCAAAACAGTTTAAACTAGACTCATACTTGATGACAAATTTACCTGCATACAAGGATGAATTGTTTTTAATAAAACTGAGCTCTATTGATACATAGCCATTGTATTTGTTTGAATGTCAGAGAAAATAAACCACTGACACTCCTTCCTTTTAAACTGTATGACACTCCTTTAAGAAAAGACTTTGTAGACATTTTACAGAAGAGTATGAGGCGTACCATCAAACATTCTCTGTTTAGGTTGTTGAGCATTTTTGCACAACATCTTTAGGAGGCTGATACTGAATGCAGTCTTTGTCCACCCATATTTACATATTTGCAAGAAAAGTATAAGATACTTTGCTGTAGCAAATTTTATGTAACAAAGATATGTCGTCACATTAATAAATTTAAAGAAATCCTTTGTATGAAAATGTTAAGATCTTTTGTATTTCATTTAGACCAAGGACATGCTGCTGTATGCTAGCTGTATGCGATAAATTCTACAGTAACTTTGTTGTCGTTTATGAACTTTAAAAGATTTTAATAAATGTTGGAGATCACAATTTGATTCTGTTATGATTTTAATTTTTAGTCATTGAAAAATTCTGATAAGATTCAGAGATTTTCTGTTTTGTAAAATACTGTACTCAATCATCTTGCGTGTACTATAAGACAAAAGTCTAGGAAATTGGTTCTGACGTGTCTGTCTGATATCCAGAATAAATCTACGTGGGCATAAGTGGGAAAGTCATCTTAATGCCATGATATTATGGTATTTTTTAATTTTATGAAAATCCCGTTAGAAAGTAAAATACTTTTCCAATATGGCATAATAGACTTCAGTATGGAAATGAGATTCTATTTTGGAAAAGGAGGGGAAGTGTGCAATTTCCAAGGCATTAGTGAATACATTTGACAATGTGAGTATTATACAACCCTCTCATTTAAACACAGTCATAAAATATAACTGCAGAATATTATGTTACCTGTATTTAATTTGAAAAATCATTTTCACAATATGGAAAAATTGTATATCTATGACAGTAGAAGCTTGTTAATTTTACACATTTGAGGAATTAAGTGTTGAACTATATGGTATATTTTAATTGTACTCTAGTTGTATGTAACTTTCATTTCCAACATAAAGGATTGTATCTCATTAAGTAAATTGCTTTTTTATTATCTTGTCAGTTGCATTAAAACCCTTATTTTTAAATCCTTTAAAGTATTTTACTAATTTTTGCAAATAATTAGATGTTTTTAAGTGCTGCAATAGTGTGCAATATAGTAAACATTTATATACAGAAGTGCAAATTAAATTATGTACAACTCTCACGCTGCTTCTTTGTGAATCAAAGTGTTGTATGATGAGTCACTGCATCTCACCACACACTGCAACAGGTCTTTGAAACAAGATGAGAAGGTTAGGACCCATACTGCCCATACTAGCTGGGACCCATTCAGATTTGCACTAGTTAGGATGGTTGGAGAACGCGGTACAGAGCAAAGGCACTTGAAGAAGCCAGTGAGTTGGACTTCTTAGACAATCAAAAGAAAATAAGGTGATCATTATCAGCAGTATTGTTTGTCTTCATATTTTCACATTCAGACTTGCTGCTTTTTATTAAAGAGAATTGCCTGTTTTTAAATTGTCTGCAGATCCCGCTGTACAAATATGTGCTGTGTCTCATTGTGCTGTGAAACAACTGATAGAAGTAAAGACTGTTAATGGTCTTGGCACTGTCTGTCTGGAGGCTTTTTCTGCAAGTGTTGTTCTGAGAGGCTCTGATACCTCTGTCTGTAAGGCAGCTCCTCTTCTCCCCAGTTCTGATCAACGCTTCGACTTTTTGCTTACGCTGTGTTTGCTTATACCTACTACTGTGGTTTTGTGGGTTTTTTGTTTCAGTCTAAACCAGTGTTGCATTTTAAGAACTTGTTTACTTTTCCTAAAGATAATCATTTTGCAGTTCCTTAGATGATCTGCTTTTACTAAAACTCCCATGCAAACACAGCATGTCCGGCAGTAACTTGAAGGTGTCACTGAAATCTGTTCTTCTGATTTGCTGTACTTACAAGGGAGTTGTCCCAGATGAGAATTTGGGAAGATCCAGTCAATAGGAAATTGGTAAAAGCACGATTCTGTTGTGGAGATGGTGTGTGTGTAGCTGATCTGGATGTCTGACCAAAAAATGAGAAAAAAAGAATTTAAATTATGACCATTGTAAATGGGTTCCACGAAGATGGTTAAATATCTATAGGATAGTAAGTATGTCATCTTCCATAGGAATTATATAAATTTTTCCTTAGAAAGACAAGACAGGTATCTCAGGAGAAGACCTTAAGATAGCTTATTTTTCTAGCTTTTGAAGTTGATGATGATTGTTTAAATCTGAGGTCTAGTCCCATTTTTATCTTCTCTTGGTATTTGCTTGGTTTGTTCTTATTGTTTTTGTTTGTTTGGTTGGTTGGTTTTTGTTTTGTTTTGGTTTGGGTTTTTTTTGTGTTGTGTTGTGTATTTTTTTCTAGACTACTTAAGCTTTCCTAGTTTACTCTTACAATTCTCTACTATTTAAAGTCTGTACATAAGGTGAATAACAGCCATTTGAGGCTTCCACTGAATCATTTGGATGAGCTCCCAATGCACTACTTCAAAGTTAGAATAAGTTCCTTTAGAAGCCTTATAGTCTGGATATCTTTTTCCCTCCCTCAGAGGGTCAAATACAAATGTCTGTGGGGAGAAAAAAAAAAAAAAAAAAGAAGAAAAAAAAGGAAAAAAAAAAGTGTTCTCAAAAATTGTGTCTTTCTTTTAAATTTAAAAGCAATTTATTGTTTATGGTCAATGAATTATGTAGAAAAGACCCAGAGGTGGACTTGCACATTCCTTATTTGTGCTCAGGTTGTAATTTTCAGTTTTTATAGACAACATGACAGCAATTCATTAATTGCAAGTTCTCTTCACGTTGAGAAGTAGCCTGTATAAGAGTGATACATCTTGATATATCTATATATGATATATCAATACAGATAAAACAATTCACCCAATAGATGGACATGACTGCAGCGCAAAAGCTCCTTAGGATGAAAAGTTCTTCTCTTAAGGAGTTTGATGACAGAAAACCATATTAGCAGTTTTCCTGTGCTGGGAGAAAGAAGCTAATCTTTTTCCTTTGCTTCCAAAATGCTGGGAAGAACACTGCCAGGGGATATTTACCCAAGTGGAGCAAGGTCTCAGTGGTCTGGTGTGTAGTGTGGTGCATTTTGAATCCATCTGGTCAGTTTGAAAATTCCAGGAAAAATTACTGGTGAGTAAGACAGTATTGAGAAAACTGAAAGTGTTGGCAGAAAGGCTTGATCCTTCACCTCAGCACCAAAGTACTGAATTCAGGAGCCAGAGAGGTTGTTGCCCCAGCAGTTTTCTGGTAACTGGAGAGAGAGAGAGAGAGAGAGAGAATATATAATTGCTATGTAAATTTGTCCTTAGACAATATTGTTTAAAATGGTGATAGATTGAAACGGAGGGTGTGTTCTACTTCTATGCGCCTTGTCAGAATCACACTCAGCCAAGTGTGAAAGCTGCTTGTCACAGCCTGGTTTTAATCCTGAGCCCTTGATGTTGGCATTTTTTTTTCACATA